TTTAAAATTTTATTTGTAAAAGTCTTGAATTAGCTCAGACCTAGTCCCTAACCTTAGCCTTTCGGGTTTTAGGATTGGGTTGTCCGGACCTTTCTCCTTTTAAAGTTGGTCAATAGTTCTTTTGGGTTGCTGGGTCAGGCCAAGCGGCTCGGATTTTCACTCAGTGGGGCCTCTTTATAAGAAATACTAGCATTATTTTTTTTTGTCGTTATCTAAATTCACTATTTAACATGTGTATTTTACTATCTTATTTTTTGTTTAAATAATAATATATTATATTAATAGAGTATACTTGTCAAACAGTGAATGCAGAGAGTGACAAAAAAAAAAATAATGTTTCCATTTTTCCTTTTTTCATTTTCGTATTCATGCTTTGTTTTCAGCTGTCCGTTTCACTCTTTTGGTAAAGTTGTGTGACGTCTGAACTTCACACCACTAACTTGTAAGCTGTAAATCGAGGCTGACTCAAAAAATCAAACTCATTCTTGAAGTTGCTGCTCTCCCTTTCACACCACGCTTTCACACATCCCAATTTACATAATTCCTTCTTCTTCTTCTTTTGTCACTCTCTTTTGATAATATCTAACTAAAATTGGAATTGAACATATTATAAATCCTAGGTACTTTTACATGGAGATACCACATGTTTACAACTCCTAAAGTTCTCCCTTTTTTCCTCTCTCTTTCCGGTTTTTTTTTTTTTTTTTCTCTATATTAATGATTGAAGGATTAACTCTTGAAGAAAGAAGTGGATAATATTAGACTATATAGACAAGTGGCTTTTATTTTACTACTTAAGTTTTGGCGCAGAACATGTTATAGTTTGATCTTGTGATATCAAGGAATCAAACAAAGAAGTTTCCACGTGCTCTCTCCCATGGTTTTAATTGAATCATTATTGTTATATTTTTATCCATTTTGTTCATGAGTTTATCTTTTTGGTGGCTTGCCATTGTTGATCTTTGATCTAGAGATTGTCATCTCCAAAAGGGTTGCAAAAGGAAGGTTCCTGTTTTTCCTTCTGTTATTTAACTAATTTGTATAGAAATTAAGTTCCCTTAGACCGGCTAACTTGTAATGACTGAGAAAATTCCAGACCTTAAATAATACAATTCATGTATTTTTAAGCCAAGGATTTTCTTAGAAAATATTATGTTATATTGTGAATGGAGGATTTATGGAATTAATATATGTATTCCTAAATTCTATAGCAAATTTCATGTTAAGTTCATGTTTCGATCAAGTAAATTCGATCGATAAATTCTCGCCGTATTTTAAGGCGGAATAATTTTCAGTACAAGTATAGTTTGAGAATCTTAATTTCAAGAATCTCTAAGCACAGCACGATGTTAGCGGCGTATAAAAAAAACGCACTAACATTTTAAAAGAAGAAAAAAAAAATCCTTAATTGCCAGACAGTTAGGTTAAAGTCACAAGATAAATACCTATAGTAGATGGATACAATATGAGCTCGGGAGTTGACACTGTCAGAAACGTCATTCTTGGGATAGAATACAGAAAATTAAAATTTAGAATTTGTTCAGTCTAAAATTAATTTCAAGACTTGAAACAGTTTGAAATATTACGCGAGTAAGAATATAAAACATTATTGAATTATTCAGAAATTGATATTGGACTGTAAGTAGTAGATTAACTTACGTGAGCTAAACTAATTACCTCTAATCAGTATAAATTTAATCTGTTTAGAGGAAATAATTGAGGATAAGATCAGGCACGTAATCTTGCCTTAATCAGATACTTTATATAGTGAAATTTTTAGGGTTCTTACACTTTCTTTCTCTTATTCTCGCTCATTCTCTCTCCTCTCACGTTTTCTCTCACACAAACCATCAATGGCCAAATACTCAAGTTAAGATTCCGACCTCCATTTTTGACACCACCGGTGTCAATAGAAAGATCTCGACGAGCTGAGTTCAACGACATGCGGCACGACCTCCAACCCCGCCGGAATCAGCCGCAATCGCCGGCGGAAGTT